TTGTATGGACTTCAACGTTTTGAATTTACCTTGGAGTTTTGTATTTTTGTTATATTTGGTACAAAAGAATATCTTTTAAAGATAATTCTGTAAAAAGAGGTCAAGCAGACAAAACGCAGACATGATACATTACCTTTATATAGATATAAGAAGATATGGTATGAGTGCCAATGAGACAACTCTCCATCCAATTTGTTCTACAACTTTACACCAAAGAATAGTTCAACAAATGAAGATTATAAATTTATTTCATTTCATTCAGATTTCATTTTAACAAATTGTTCATTCAACTTCGTTCTCACACCAAAATTTATAAGAAACGGACAAATTACCTTGCTTATTTTTATTTAATTTTCTCAACTGTGATACATTCTAATACTTTCATTAGTATGAAACATTTCCGCCACCAAGGAGAACATAGGTATGTTCTTATAGCTTTAAGGGTTATCTCAAATATAGAATATTTGTGTCGAAGTAAAATTCCACACACAGGAATTCAAATAAAAAAACGGTTTTTCAAATCAACCTTTCATTATAATAATATTCCTGAAATTTAAGAACTATCCATTTTATTTTGTCTTCCGAACATTATTGATACAGGTTATTATAATTATTGCCGTATTAAATTTTGTGAAGTTGATGTACGAAATCTAAAAGCACGATTTCAACATGATACTTGAGTTTGTTTGTCGGTATACTAAGTAATTATTATATTAATATTTGATACTATATTATAGACTATAAATTATTACTTTACTACATAATAAAAAGTAAAATCACAAAAATACTGAACTCCGAGGAAAATTCAAAACGGAAAGTCCCTAATCAGATGGCAAAATCAAATGATAAAACACATCAAACGAAATAAAATATTGTTTGCGGTGATCCATTTGGGTGGTAAAATACCCCTCAATTCATCAAGAGTAAGGAGAGATATACAGATAATGTGAATACACAGAACCCCGATCCAATCCATCCTTTGCTAAAAATGTTACATTTTTGATTGTTTTTTTTTGTCTAAAAACGCCTATTTTTTGTATAGTTTCCATTTACTAATTAACAGCTGGATATCCTCATATTTAACGACATTATTGTAAAATTAAACGCCCGATGATTAGACATGATTTTCTGGAACTAATGTATGTTGGGAAGAGAGACACACAGATAGAACTAGGTCATCGGTCCACAGGTGAATCTGAACAACTTTAACACTAACGTATTGGAAAGCACATTTTTCATTCCAATTCTGAAGTGAGTCTTTATCTAGACCCCAGTATTGATTATCGATCGAGTTGAGGTCATATCAGTATTTCAAAAGTTACATACATGTACCTCCCTTGCAAGCATGCGTTATTATTATTTTACGCAACCTGATAGATACTGAACCGTCGCCACTCAGAAAGTAAGTACTCTGATTAGGTTTTATCCGAAATTTGCAAGCCAATATATATTATGTATGCCATTCTTATGTTTGTTTATAACTTATTTTTCACCGAAATCTGGTTAAATAAAGTTCTTATTTGTTTTTGCTCATTCCTTTACTCCTTTTCCCTTCCCCCTTACTATTAGACAAAAACCGGTCAAATTTTTTTCAGTGCATCCCTCCCTTTTTTTTTTTAACTCTCCCTGTTCTCCAAGTTCCTGACTTCCGCTTCCCACCCTTAATTCCCATGTTCAGATCGGATCAAGGATTTTGAAAAATGGGAAGGGGGGACCTTAGGGCTACCACACTAGGCAACGTTTGGAGTGGAACAGGTAGAAAATCTAAATTAACCATAAATGTAGGTTCATTAGGGGGGACCAGGGTACCCTGGTCCCCCTAAATAAAGGCAACAGTAGTATACCGCTGTTCGAAATTCTTAAATCGATTGAGAAAAAAACAAATCCGGGTTACAAACTAAAACTGAGGGAAACACATCAAATATAAGAGGAAAACTACGACACAACAGAAACACAACATTAAAATGTAACACACACAGAAACGAACTAAATCTGCCTATGATGTTCAATTACCCCTGCCCTCAAAGCATGTGCAGTCCTTTTTATAACCCTTTCTCCTTATTTTGTATGAAATTTACAATATAGAATTAAGGATCACAGATTCAAAATCCTCTTTTTTAAATATATTTAATTCACAACATACTATCAGGCAGACTGATAATTAATTACTGTTACATGCATGGCCTAAATGTATTAAAAAAATTAATAAAGTAAAACAAGGCAGTTTATATTATGCGCCTCTAATTAAAGTTTTCCCCGTCCTCTAATATACGTCCAGTTCATGGATAAGGCCTCGCATCTTTAAAACTATCATTTGAAACAATTTAAAAAAAAAATTATATCAAATCCATCAAAAATATGATTTGATATCTTCATCATCTGATTTGATGTTTACAAATAAATTGAAATAATGAAACCAATTTCAACTTGCCCTTTCAGAATCTAAAGGACTATGTGTAATTTCATTGTAATTACATTACAAAATCAAAAATAACGTCACTTCATTGGATTAATTTCCATTGTTTGGAGGGATTTTAACCAATCACAATGTTTTGGTGTACGCTTTTGGAAATGTTACCCAAAAATGCATTAGATTCTGAAACGGCGAATTGAAATACAAATGTACTACTGAAGTATTGATCCTTTGCCATGACAATAACTCTACATATTGAAGTGATATAGTCTTGGGATTTCAGATTTGTTTGCCATCTTATCTATATCCATGTCCTAAATTAGGAGTTAATTGTCATATGTCATATATCTGAATATTTCCTGTTAGTTGGATAATTGTAGGTATAGTAGACCTTCATCTACATGTATATTCATTACTTTCAATGTCATAGGTTCAGATTATCTGATTGTTCTATTTATAGTAAACCTTATCTACTTACTAATAAAACAGCCCTCACTTGCGGACAAACTTGTTATTATTATTATTAAATTATTAAGAATTGAACTTTTGATTGCTGTATTTTTGTTAGCTGTGATACCGATATTTGTCAATATGTATCCGTCCGAAATGAGGATTTGCGTCAGTGGTTGTCATTATTTAGGATTTGAGTGTGTTTGTCCATTTCGGATTTTGGTGTTGATAGAGTATAGAGTTGACACCAAAGACTGTATGATAAAAATATATAGAAGACACAAACAATCCTCACTGATGACATTCAAAATTACCTTTCTATCCATAAAGACAACTAAATTATCCAAAGAAACTGGTTGACAAAGTGTTAAATAACGATGATGCAAGTATGCCAATGCAGCGGTAAGTTGTGAGACCAGACGAATACTCTCCTCAATGGTAAGTTTCCTCGTAGCAAACAGTTCTCTCAGCGTTATGTGCCTCGTCTGAAGAATCTGTGCATTGTTGATAAATACAGAAGCCATGCAAATTTCATCAGATGCATCTGAAATAGTATATCATTTTTAGTAGGCATAAACAATTCGCAACATTTTGGTTTGAAGGACACAATCAATAAGCATTCACAAGAAAAAGACGGTAAAACCTCCTTTTTTATTTTTTCAAACTTTTAGAACATACCACATAAATGTTGGAGCATGCTTGAAATATTCCAGAAAAATGAAATGCCCAGTCAAGTAACAATACCTAAATACCAAAAGCTTTATCAGTTAATTTTCGTTTTTGATTATGACGTTTCTCCTCCGAAGTTATCTACAGCGTCACCTATGAGTATTTTATAGACGAAACACGCTTCTGGAGTACACATTTTCATCCTGGTATCTATGATAAGTTTATCAGTGCTGACATGAAATATCATTGATAATCATAAAGACCTGAGAATCAAAATGACTACTGCCTGGTTTAAAACTTTCTTCAACTTCGTTATTGATTTTGGCTGCCAATTGTTTGGATTCGAGTGCCACCGGTGATTATTGTTTAGACGAAACGCGTGTCTGAATCCTTAATGATAAATGCTTGTATCTTTGGTAACATTTCTGTTCTTACCTTTACGTCGGTCTTTAACTTTAGACATCTGAAATATTTTGCTAGACATCTTACCAAGAATATTGGGTTTCTACAAATGAGCAATCAAATATGAATAATTAAAAAAAAAAACGGTTTTAGATTAAATATTCCTTGATATGCATTTAGCAGGTATGTAACAATAATCTATATACAATTAATGATTTAAGATCTGTTGTCCGATAACTGTAACCCCTTAGTGTAAGAAGCGGCTTGTACATAATGGATTTCCAGTTTTAATCAGACATATATAAGCCGATGTAATTGGTTACTGGTCATGCCGTTTTTCTCCTTTATGCTTTAGTTAAATAAGTATCAAGTTTAATTGCGCTAATTTATTTCACATACATTACGTCCATTCATCCGTCAACAATTTTTTTCTCGTCATGAAAAAATCGTCCTTTCTTCTCTCGTACTACTGAACAGAATGAAGAGACAATAGTCAACAGGTGGACAGTGATGAGTTGTCACGTGTGAAAACATTTCAGATTTCAGAGGTACACTTTCTGACTGTCGATACTCTTAATTCTTCAATACATTTAATGAATTCGAACTCAATACACTTGTTACACATTTTTCCAGTAATTAAATGAAGGTATTCCATATAAGATGACATGAGGGAGTATGTTCCTTGTATAACAGTGCTTTTAAAAATGTATCAATTAAAACATATAATAATATGATAAGAGGTTTACTATAATAAAGTCAAGTTGTGTTTCAAAAAATATGAGAGAAGAATAAAGAAACAAATATCAAACGGGACATGATATCATGCAACCGACAATCAAGGTCAGTCCGTGGGAAATTCAAATACCCCGGATATATAGATTATGAAAAATAAATTTTCACAAAATTATATAAACATAAATAAAGCATTCTTTCAGTTTTAACTGTATGTTTTGTGTGAGGTCTGACTTGATAATGTTAATATAATTGTTTTTCAAAATATACCCAATCAATCACGGTAATAAAGTTTTACTTTGAGCAAATGTGTATTATTGTTTAGCATAAGTACCTGCTTTATTGTTGAAAACGTATAAAGAAAAGGGTTCAATGCTGCATTTAGTGGCATCACAAATACAGCTACCCAAGAATAAACTTCTGACGGAAATACTTGACCAGCCATTGCTAGTATACCTAAAAAATGAATAGAAAAATAGATCAATTTCGGTATTATGAAGATATTACCATAGTTCATATACTACTAGTATGTCTTCATTTAAACTGAACTTAATGCAAATGCATTACATCTATATAATAATATTATCGGTACCAATTATCTGCACCTGATGCTCATTTCGACAATAAAAGTTTCTTCAGTGATACTCGAGGCAAAAATATTTGAAAATCCAGAAAGCTATAAAAAGTAGAGCATAAGCCGAGAACGGAATTAGAGCTTTGCATGAGGGACAAATAAGCCAATTTTAGTAAATTTCTCTACTGATTCTTTGCAATCCAAGATGGCGTAAACAATTTTGATACTCCTTACTACATAAACAGTGAAAATAACACCTAATAAGTTTTATGCGTTCGAAGTGCTTATCTGGATGTACCTTCATCAGGAACACTCGAAACCAATTATTTGAAAACCAAGGATGGTTAATTGCCGAAACACTTAAACAGCTGTATGACCAAAAGGGACCTAAAAAATAGCAAAATCCAGCTGTGGTCAACTTTGCATGAGGGAGTTGGAACCTCATAGTTTCTTAATTTCAAAATCGATAAACGGACAATTCAAGAAAAGTATGCTTTATATCATGTCAGTACCCAATCACTGACTACTGAGCTGTGCAGGTACATTAAGGGGGTACCCAACAATTTTCACAAAATAGATTTGGCTCGTTAAATTTTCATAAAATGTTCAAAAAATATTTACTTTGACCTGATATATTGTCAAAACATTTGACGAACACCATTTACAGGAATAATTTCATTGGATATATAGCAGTTTGACATACATTAATTTTGATCATTGAGAAGCTTGATTTCATTTTACTAATGGTATGTAATTAAAACGTTCAGCTTTATTTTAAAGATGTAAGTCCCTTAGGTGTTCTGTACCCATCTTAAGGTGTTAATACCGCTATTTTGTGTTTTACATATCAATTTTCGTACCTTGATTTATGGATGACTTACCCATTATTCCAACGGGAAACCAACATAGAAAGTCCGTTAAAACAATTAAGAATAATCGTCTAGCCAGTGTTAGGTCTTGTTTTGTCCTCTTCGTCATTATTCTATTACTACTTTTAGCTATTTGGTAAATTGACAATTGGCACCAAGCTATTACAATAAACGCAGTACAATTGAAAAACACGAAAATAGCTGTTGAATATTCCCATCCGCTGACTTTCTGTCGGGAAAATGGTAAAGCCAAACAAACTGCTGTTCTGGAATAAAACATATTAGAAAAATATGCCGTTTCAAAAATCGGGACCACAGCTATAATTATTACAAATAACCAGCAAACCAAAGTCGAAACCTTTGCTGTTTTGTATGTTATCCTCCATCTGCCAAATGGAAACTGTACCATTAGATAGCAATCAAAAGTCGTTAACATGACGAAACAAACAGATGCCTCACATGAAATGGCCGCAAGGATACCTGCAAATTTACAAACAGTACTATCTCGCCATTCTCTGTCATGTAAAATGTAGTTTCCAGAGTAGTACATATCAACAAAAGCAATGATCCCTAGGTACACACCCATCAACATGTCTGCAACACCAAGATTCATAATAAATAACCAATTTGCCTTAAATAGCAGCGTTTTTTCGTAGATTATACGATAAAGTATAACTCCAACATTTCCAATTAAGGCATTTATAGCAATAATCCATAGGCACCCTCGCAATACATCATTTCTCATCAAATCCCTACACGAGGAAAATTCGTCCATTTTGGGGGAACAATTCTCTGTGGAAACAGATTCTGGTTTTAAACAACAAAATATATAGGAATCAGTTTTCATTTGTGTTAAATGAGAAAGGCGAGAAAATATATCAGGAGAAAATTTTGTCACATCGTTTTGTCTCAAATCAATAGACAAAAGAGATACAAGTCCATCAAATCCGTTTTTCTCTACAGTTGTTAGTCCATTCCCTGTTATGTTAAACGTTTCAAGGTTGTCTAAACCATTAAAAGTCCCATTGAAAAGTTTTATTATTCTAGTTCCAGACAGTTCTAAATCTTTCACATTAGGTAATGACATGAACGTATTTGGTTTGATTAATCCCAGCATCAGATTGTCTTTTAAGTTTAAGGTTACTAGTTTGGTGAGACCATAGAACGTGTAACTTTGCAGAACCTTCAATTTGTTATTGCTCAAATCTAAATGAAGGAGGTTCATTAATTGTTCAAATGAGTATGGCATAATATTGTCAATGCTGCAGTTGAACAGTTTGAATTCAGCAAGATACGTATATGCACGAACAATCAAATCATTATTTGGAAACAATGAGCTGCTTAAATCTAATTTTCTAGCTTCAATAGATAAATCCCTGAAAATTGTTTCTACTTCTTTTTGATGACATATAAATACTAAACCTTCACATGAACACCCAATAGGACATGTGACATAACATCCAACTTCATCATCCCCATGAGGACATTGTCTAATGTTGTCACAAACCTCATCAAATAACAAACAAGTGGTTGACTGTTGACATCTATATAATCCAGGACAGGTCAAATTTCCTGAAAGCAATCATATATAAAAATCAAATTTGTATAAACTATCCCAAATTAAAAGATGATAATGATAAGTTGTGATTGAAAAGTTGATAAATTAGTAAAACTAAATGTCTAAATCTTAAGTTTCCATTCTCTTTCAGAAAAGTTGACATTTGAAGGTTTTGGCTCTGTTTATATCCTCTTAGCGATCGATGCTTTCCTACTGAAATTGATATCATACCTTTGTTCATATTATTATTAAAACAAATTTATTGTAGATTTTGCGAAAGAACATGTTATTTTATAAGCATTTTTATCTGTAATGATTACCCTACCATAAAAATGTAAAGTATCTTTTGAAATGGAAAAGTGATAACATAATTTAGAGTCAATAGTACGTTCATTTGTTTCGAGAATACTTGCATTTGCTTGTGAATATAGATATTAGCTCCCTTATAATTCCTTAGCTTTATGTATTCGTTTACCGAAAGCTGATGAGCGATGGATGTGAAAACGAAAAAATGCAGGTAAAGCAGTTAATCCCTTATTTCGTAGCGCGATCAAATAAAGTGCAACAGATTCTGATGAAGGTAAAAGCTTTTCAGTTACAACAGAGTAACCGAATTAAATTAAATTGCGGGCCTTTTAAGGAGTCTTTTTAGATCATTCCTGAATCTAAATGTTGATTTTTTGTCGTTTTCGGTTATTCTTATGTTTTTGTTTTTTGTTTTATCAACTCTTCAAATTTTGTCTTTGCTTTTTTCTTTTCAGACATTTTGACCTCGAGCATCACGGAAGAGACATTAATTGTCGAAATGGGTATCTGGTGCAGTACATTTGGAACCGAGTATGTTATGGACTGATATTTTAAAATTTCTCTTTATTATACAGCTAAGAATATTTCTTTCTAAATTTCTTAGCTGTATAATAAAGAGACGGTTTTATAGGTTCTGTTAAGCCATTTCTAGATTTCACGCTTTTGAAGGTTTTTGGATGCGTCAACTTTTTGTCTCGAGCATCTTGTTAACTATGAAAATAAAGAGATGTTGAATGATTGCATATGAGAGAACTATCCATCAGAGACATACGGACGAGGATGAAACTAAAGGGTACCGTACAGCCTTCAGCAATGATCAAAATCCATATCGTAAAGTAAGCTACAAAAGGCTCCTGCGGGACAAAATATGAAACAATTTAAAAGAGAAAACCAATGGACTATTTCATGAAAAAACAATCGTCGAAAAAAAAAATAATGCAAACAGCAGCGAATGACTTAGGACAGGCACAAACATGATGTGGTGGGGTTAAACATGTTTGTGAGTGCTCAATCCTTAACTTACCTGAAATATTAGTGTAACTAATCTGGGACATTAATGTAATGGCACAACTCAAGAGCAAACTATGAGAATCAGTTACAAAAGACGTGACTAATCAAATTGGCACTTAGCAAACAAAAACTCAATCAACAGAAAAAAAATACACACGGTACCGGCTTTAGTGAACACGCAGTTTCTAAAATCTATTTCGAAACCAATTCCAACTAATAAATAAACCATGTTTCTCTAAACTGAAATTTCAATAACTACACATCCAAAAGATTTTTTGTAAAGGCGTGTCAAACAGACATAGAAAAACCTGGCATTGTCCAATGCCAAAATATTAACATCAACGGGAATGTTGATAATTAAACAGCTAAATGTTTTAGTTATGTTTTAATTGATTAAAAACAAAAACAATGTTAGCATCGATGAAGACAATATAGCTATAGTCTGATGATACTTATTCAAGAAATAGCGTGTGAATTAGGATGAAAACAACTTATTATGTCAAGAAGACTTATAATCCATGGTTACCACAAAATAATTCATCATCGCCATGGGTGCAATGTTTTCTGCCGTCACAAAGTAAGCTCGATGAAATGCAGTGACCCTCTTTGCATTTGAAGAATCCTGGCTGGCAAATCTCTTTTTCTACAAAAAAATGTATTTTATAAAAGTGTATTTTTGGGGGGATTGAAGAAAGATTCGCAGATTTATAGTTTGAAACAAGAATGGAATGTTTTCTGCAATTAAACACAAGATCATTCAATTATAGACAGTTGTCCATTCGATACATAGAACAATAAATCGTACCAAGTTTTAGTAAAAAATGAAAACAACACGTTACAAATTGCATACGTCCGAAGCGCTTTTCTGTCTATTTTGTTTTTCGTTTATTGTTTTGTCTTTCATATTTGGTTTTCGGTTATTGTTTTATCACGAAAAAGAGAATGCGAAGAACTACATATAATTGTTTCTGTTGACATATATTTCTTTAAAGTTTTGCTGTAAAGCCTTTTCTTTTTATTCAATTTTGGAATTGAAAGCATACCTCATCACAATATTACTGAAAGTCATTTTGTACTGTAGAATGATTTTGGTGACGTTTAGGTATGCAGTAAGTTAAACGGTTGGAGGTTTAGATCGTCCTTTTTTATGTTAATACCAAGGGAGAAAAGGGCGGATTTATGATTTTAAAAACATCTCCACTTTCGTGAATGATTTAGGGGCATATGTAAGATTCCCAGTTTTGCTTTGAATTCCAAGTTCTTTAATGAGTCATTCCAAATAATAATTTTTGCATCTAAAACAATATTGCTTGAAGCTTTGTCTGCTGAAACAATAAACAAATTTGTCTCGAAGAGAGGATAAAACAACCACAACCTTGGGCTTCTTGAAAGGATAAGAAAACCATGTGCTAATTATACATCGTATATTTTGAATACGCTTCTAAATGCTTGACCGAACAGCTTCGATTCATTCATGCACAGTGTCTAGTTTTGTCTCATCAGTTTGTTAGTCAGTCGTTACATTTCATTTTTCAAGCTAAACAATAAACAAGCTGCACATGAGTTATCCTTTTTCCTGAATTCCAACATCCAAAATAAGTGCCAATATAAATGGTATTTATGTCTTACAACGTCCTTGTTGTCATAGTTCCATTGAAATATATTACCTTACTGTACTAACGCTCATGTTAAATCAAACCAAGACCAAATACTCAAAAGTTTCAAATCAAATTTATTTTCCCCTATTGTTCTATACCATTTCATTCATACTTGACATTCTCTTTTTGATTTTATGCATTTCAAAACATTATGTGCAAATTTGAAATACTTCTCACAACCTTTATTTATTTTGGTCAAAACCATCCCATTATGCTCCTTCTTTTTTTAGGTTGAAAATCGGATGAAAACCCTATAAAAAAACCATAGATTAAAGAACCTTTACATATGTTCAAACTCGGTACAATATCACAATAAAAAGATGGTGGCTTTTAACTCGACTCCAGTCGTAGGTACCGAACAGTTTACGTGTTAACTGGGGGACTATTCTTAGTCATTTGAACAAGAGAGGTGGAAGATACCAAAGGGATATACATACAATTAGTTGAAGAAAACCAGACAACGCCATGACAAAAAACGAAAAACGACGAAAAGTCAAATAACAGTGTGCACAATGTATAAAACTAATGACTGAGCAACAGGAACTCCACCCACGGGGTGATATCAGATGATCCCGAAGGGTAAGCAGATTCTGCTCCACATGTGAGGGGAGTGTTTTTATAGTACAATTTGTTTTTCTTACCACAGTGCTGAAGATGAGTCATATCTCTACAACCTTTTATATCACTTCTTTCATTTACACGCATTACGCAGTGATCTGTATAGTTATACAACTTTCCATCAGAGCAAAGGGACTGGCTACGGGAAACATTTTTCGAAATTTCTGACAAATAAAAATAAGAGCAGTTTACCGATGTTTAAATCTTATAAATCGATTAAAAAAGATAAACGAAGGGAAAAAAAATAAAATAAACACAGATGACATTATAAGGTAAAAGGTATTCTATACTTTTAATGAAAAATCTAATTAAACGCATTCATCTAAGAGGATGAAGCACACAATAAATAATGATGTACAAATGACGTATTTAACAGACACAAAAAGAGACATTACAAGAATGCATATGACTTTAAACAGGCGAAGATGGCAAGGATATTGTCAATTAAATTTCGTGCTACACTTTAACATATAAATATTTTAATTGAATATCCAAAGTATGGTGTTGTTTTTCGCAAACATCAGAAACGATAATTCAGGTTTATAACTTTTCTTTAATTTTTTTCAGCTAAAACATTTTTAACATATATTAATGCTGTCTGTACTTAAAAATTTACCTGATTTACATACAACAGGTCCAACTGTCACATCATAAAACCCCTCGTCACTGTAAGATTTGTCTATAACAGCGTAACGATAAAAAGGAAGTCTATCGGGATTTGAAATGACTATACTATCAGTAAACACTCTATTGACATCTACTTGACTCCAGTCCATGCCTCCAATACAATGGCAACTACAGAACAAGGAAACTAATGTGATAAAGATAATGGAATAGACTTTGTTTGAAACAGTTTCATATTGCATCTATACGGTATGAATTGTAAGGTGTTATATTGTGCACTATTGAATTAGCTTTTTGTCTGACTATCAAATACCTGCATTTCTATTGACTTTCAAATATATAGTAAAATTACGTTGAATTTACCATGTTCAATTTTTTATGTGTGTTAAACAGTGTTATGAAAAGCATACAATGTGATCATTAGAATCGGAAACAACATATATACCAAACTTCAAAGAGCTCAAACAAACTCGATAAAAACAAAATAAATAAACGCTTTTTTACTACATAAATCTGACACAATACCGTTTACCACAAACAGCTGATATTTATCACAATCAGAGTGATTCGACAAATGTCGAAACCATTTCTACATAAACTTTCATCAGGGCTTATAGTTCGAAGAACAAGCACAAGCAGTAGATGGTGGTAAACAGTGCAAAAGCTTTGGATTTTGTATAAATGAAACGACTCTTATGACTACGAGAATGATGGTACGTTGTCCTTCAGAATTGAATTAAGTTCATTTACTTGCTTTTTATAGCATGCCTCAACAACCATGACAACAGATTCCGTAT